TCAGATTGGGCTTTTTGTTGTGGCAGTAGAAGCTATCTTACTGACTTTTGTATAAAGGGTCTCTTGGAGAGAAAAAAGCACCCTGAAGACATTTTGTGGTATGGTGTGAAGTTAAGAAACCCATTTCCATTTGACTCCAGTGGATGGTTGGATTGCTCTGAGAACATTTTTCTGATTATAGCCATCTTGTCATTTTTCTTTTCAGAAGATACTTTCTTTGCTCTTGCTTTTGGTCATGGAACTGAAAGGCCCTGAGCATTATGACTGGAGCTGCAATTTTTTCTTTTCCTTGTATCTTCCCAGTGTCTTATTCAGCAGCTCCAGTCCTGCTGTGAGACCCAGAATGTATCATTTTCCAAATGTTGCAGTTCCACTAAGTCATATGGGAGCGTGGAGCTGGCTGGGAGAAAGGTACGGGTCAGTGATCTTTTTATTCTGGCTTGGATCATTGAAGAAAAATTAAAGGCAGCATTCTTCTTTTCCATCCAAAGATTTATACTTTGTATTTTCCAAAAACATAGGTGAATGAATGAATGGAATTGTAGTTTAAGCAGAGACTGTGACTTCGAGTGGCATGTGACCCTTGTGGCGAGAGTGAGCCTCCTGGCAGGGTGAGGGGCTGAGTGGCCTGGCTCTCAAGCCCCAGTGACTTACATTCATTGTGACAGGTCACCTTTAAAGCAGGACCCCTCATAAACTGCTTCATGCATAATAACCCTTTATGGCTTTTAATTGGGGGTAGCCAAGCAGTGGGTGATCTTTATATACCAGCTGTCCAATAGCACAACAGGGCGCCATAACAGAACCTAGAGTCTTGATGCTGGGAGCTGGTCAGATCCCGCCCACCGTGTTAATGCCAACATGCTTTTTTTTTTTTTTTTTTTTTCATTTTTCTTTTATTATTTACATGTGCATACAAGGCTTGGTTCATTTCTCCCCCCTGCCCCCACCCCCTCCCCAACATGTTTTTTCTTATGTAAATATTTCCTAGTAAGAAAGAGTAGGTTTGGCAACGTTTACATTTTGATCTGTATTACATGACTTGCTAAAGGAAACACACTTTTGTTTGTTTTGAAAATGAAATTCCTATAGAAAGGCCATTGAGCTGTCAGCCCCTGTCATTCTAACACTCTTATCCCAGAGCTCATCTGCAGCTTGTCAGACCTAGCTTACTCCCCTGACCATAAAAGGCAAAGAATGTGTGAGGCCTGTTCCCTTTAGCACATTGTCTTGGTGCTCTGTGATGTCTGTGTTCATAGTGTCAGCTGGATCCACAGAAGTACAGGCATGTTAGACATATTTTCTCCTGCAAGTTTGCAGAGTCTGTGAGTTGAAATTCTAAAGCTTTGCCAGGAGCATAAATCCTAGGTATTATCTCAGAACTACACAGTACTACCTTCTGCATTTTAAATATTTCTTGGCAACCAAACAACCCAAGGAGTTTATTACAGGTGCTTCCCCACCAACAATCCTGAAAGAGGATAGCACAGCAGGTCTGATGTGACTCTCCCCTGTTTTGTGGGAGCACCTCTGGGGTGAGCAGGACTTACTGTAATAGGTTTGCACCTGAGTGGTAGGTGGGTACACTCAGCCCTTGGCTGGACTTAAGTATGCCTAAGCAGGAAGGAAAGGCACAGGGTTGTTGGGTTTCCCTTGACTTCTCTTGGGTAAAAGGCAGGAAAGAACCGTGGCAGGGAGGAAGTAGCTAGTGGGGAGAGAAACAGATGGGCAGGAGGACTGCACACTATATCATCCTGCTGTGACCATGTTGTAGTTCCTGTAGGGTGGTGCCATTGTTATATTGAAGAATTACCATACAAGGAGCATGTGGTCACCTTCTGTCATTCCTCTACCTGAGTGAGTGGCTCAGGCTGTACTGAAGAGGTTGTAGGCTGCAGTGCTCTTTGCTGAGTCAGGACACATGGATGGGCTACGTCACATGAAGTTGGTTTTAGTGGCATTGTGGAAGGAGGCCTGGATTTCTTCCGAGTGCTACACTTGCTGAGGGCCCAGTTTGGAGCCTGTAGAACAGCTTATGGACCACACTTTGCCAAAAGCCAGATTGGTATGTTGAAACAAGTGATTTTCCTGAGCTCTATCTCCTTTACCTATCCAGAACCTAAGAGAATTAACCTGGAAAGGAAGACAGCTAGCGAAGAAGCACCCTGACCCAACTCAGGGAGCATGAGAGTGGAGAACTAGGAGAAGTGAAGTGTGAAGTTGTATTTGGGAGATAGTTTTGCTTAAATTCACTCTTACTTGCTTTTGTTGGTCCATGCAGCATTTATACTTGACTTTATTTGGAAAGCCTAGATCAACTTTAAAGGAAGAGGTGGGAGATCACAGCATAACCACTTCCAGGTCTGTTTAGGGTCCTATAAAATTGCTATAGCTTTAGCCTGACCTCCTCAGAGCTGCTGTGGATTCTAACCTGCCCGTGTCACCTCAGCACATTAAGCTAAGTTATTCATCTATCCCTGTTAGGCAGGTACATGTTTTAAAGGTAATCTTTACCTAAATTTAATATTCAGAGTATATGCCAGGTCATCCTTGCTGATGTATTTAAAACTCTTGGCCTATTGTTCTTTTTTGTTTGTTTGTTTGTTTTTGAGACAGGGTCTAGCTATGTAGCCTAGGCTGGCCTTGAATGCAGGATCCTCCTCAAACTCAGCATCCTCATTCTGGGGCTTGCAGATGTAAGCTACCATTAGGTCTTTTGGTTATTTTTACAGCTTTGCTGTTTGTTCATGAATTTCAGTGATGGACCCTTTCTCACCTTCTCTCATGGTGCTTCTTCCTAGGCCTGTGTGCTTATTCCTACATTACACATCCTATAAAAAGAATAACCCAGTGGCAGGATGAAGTGTGAGCAGAATCCATACACTTTCAGAGTGGCCTGAAGAGACGGCTTTCGTGTGGAATGTTTCCTTTTAATAAATGAAATGTGTTTGATAGTGTCTAGAATGCAGTACCACTGTCAGCATGGTAAGACACACACTCTCTCTTCCACATAGGAGAAGCTAGGATTTTTTTTTTTAATTGCCTAGGTGAGTTATTTGAACTTAAGGTGGTGTCTGATCCAATCAGCTGCCTTCACTTGTAACCTGGATGAACTTGCTAATAGGTAAGTTGATTTGATCCACCAAGATTGAGACCTCACAGGGAACTTGGTGATTTTCAAATACTTCTTGATGAACTCCTTCAACTGAAGTCTGTAGTTGCTGTGGTTGGATGGCTGTGAGTCAAGGTGGCTTTCATTTGTCGGCTTTTGGGCAGGAATCGGGGCAGCTGTGTTACCCTTTTTTTGGACCCAGCATTCAAGAGAAGTTTATTAATGAATCATCATCCAGAAACAGTTCATTGGTCTTCCTGCATTACACTACCTTTACTGGCATGCTCATGCAGAGGCAGGAGACCTTGGCCTTTGTAGATTCTCAGATTTGAAGGTAGCTTTCAGTTTTGAGTGAAAGGTGACTATTACCCAAAGTCTAGGTTTCAAGAATATCTCTTCAGTAATTCAAGAATATCTCTTCAGTAAAACATTGGTTTTATATATTGTTAATTCATCTGGCAAATGTGGTTGAGCGCCTACTGTTTCCTAGGCACTGCAGGGCATGGTAGGTATCCTGTGAAGCAGGTAGGTCTAGTCTTAGCTTCCTGAGGCTTATTAGTTTAATGGGGGAGTCACTATTAATAGTTTATAGAAGCTATCGAACCCTCTGTCCCCCAATGTCATCAAGGAATTTAGAACTTGAAGTCTTGTGGTGAGGCTTGTTCCTCACTTTCAGATAGGATTATGACCCTGGTCACACAGGTTGTTAGAGGCAGAGCCAGCACTAATGCCACATCTTTGAGTCTCAGCCAGCATTTTGGGTTATATCTTTGCAGGAAAGGCTTAAAACAGGAACACCCAGCCTCAGGGACCTCCTTATAATGCAAAAACAAGAGGAACTATACAGATTCACCAGGAGTCCCTTTTGCTGGGAGCTGAGAAAGGGAAAAAACCCTTCTCGATTCTGATCATCGGGGAAGTCATGGGGAGTTATAGACATACTGTAGAGGAGCGCGAAACTGGCATGTTTGGGGAGAACCTAGAGCAGCCTGCTAGAGACTCAGGTGCACACACTGTTCAAGGAAGGATCGTGGAGGAAGAGCAGATGAGGAACAGTCTCCAGGATGATAGGAACAATTTTCTTCAGGTAGAGCTCAGGAGATGGGCAGAGGGGTGGAGGCAGACTTTGTCAGGACTTGGAGAAGGAGACCCCTGCAAACCTGAGGGGAATCCTGAGCAAATGCACAGTGGCCTATGCAAGGAGGCTTGAGAAATTGAGAGAAAAGAGTTTGGGCAGCCGCTAACTTTAGATGGCCTTGACCTCTGAGCAGTCATAGAGATAGTGAGATGCATACTTCACCTTCTCAGAGGAGGGCTTCTTGAAGGCAGGCTTTGAAAGGTAAGTCTGGCAGCAGACTTAGAGGAACAAGAGGGAGCTACTCCTAGGAGGGCCCTGTGGGAATTTCCTGTAGTTGCTAGATACAAGTAGTGGCAGTGAGTTATTTTGAACTTTAGTAGTGCTTGTGAAAGTGGTAAATTCAGGCTGATCTCAGAGCTTTAACATAGCTTTACAGCAATTTATATGAAGCCCCAAAAACAATTACAAAGCTTTGAATGTCTGTATTTTATTTTATAAGGCATTTTGGAACCATTGAGAACCAGTTAAAAGAGAGTAGAAATACTAAATGTCAATACTTTCTTACTTTCAAATTCAAGTGCTAAGTTGAATACCAACCATTCAGTTCAGTGTTGCCAATATTGCATTCTGCTTTCCTTCTTTGATAAAAGTTTGACCTTCAGACGCCCTAGTGTGGTGATAGAGGTGAGCAGGAAGGGTGGGTCCATTGGGAGGAAGAGGATGAGAGGAGGTGAAAGGAGGGCGAGAGGAGCAGGACTGGCCAGCAGTGCACAGCATTTAACCTGCATTGTGTTCTCCTTGTCTCCCTAGGAGTATAAACAGAAACTTGCACGGGTAACCCAGGTTCGCAAGGAGCTGAAGTCCCATATTCAGAGCTTGCCTGACCTCTCACTGCTGCCCAACGTCACAGGAGGCTTGGCCCCCCTGCCCTCTGCTGGTGACCTCTTCTCAACTGACTAGGACAGGTGTTGTACTCCAGATTCCCATCTGTGCCAGGAAAATGAGGGCAAGTCATGATTGGAGTTTACCTTCTAGCCCCTGGTTCTGTCTCTTCTTCCGCCAGCCCCTCCGCCTCAAGAAAGAAGCGCGGGCGGACTCTGATTTCTTATTCTCCTGTCCAGCCTCTCCTCTTGAGCACGATTTAGAGCAGTGGGAGTGGAATCCAATTTAGATTCATGTTTGCAAAAATACAGACCCTTTCTCCTATTTCATGTTTTCATGCCACTGTTGGTTTTCCATTCTTAGCTCTCTCTTACGCCTAAGAAGCTATGGAAATCATGTGTACTTCTGGAAGCTTTCAAAAGAATTTTGTCCCTTGTGCAGCACAAGTCCTGGAAGCAGCTCCTCCTTTCCAAGCTGGGATTGGTCAGGTTTGTGACAGGCTCCTGATGAGGGACTCGCTCTACAGATGTTGACTTTCATGACTACCATCTGCCCCAAAAGGTTGGGTGCACAACCATTGGGTGGCTTTGTCACAAAGAGTTTGCCAAATTACTCACCCTCCCCTACCATTACTTCCACTAGTGAAGTATAGTCAAGGTTAGGTGCATTTATTTTGTGAGCAAACCAGAAAATCTAGCAATAAGATTCAAAGCTGATCTGGAACATAGAGTTGCTGTTCAGAGACAGAGTAACAGGAATCACAAGAAAGTTGTTTGTCTGGTTCCTGCATCCCTAACCTTCCAGGCTGCACTTCTTCAGGGCCCCACCCACTACCAGAGCTTTTTCCTAAAAACAGAACCCTTTGACCCCGGTACTTGTGATGGTGGTTGTTGGGGACAGCACTGGTGGGTGGAATGAAGGCCCTGCACACAGGCATGCTGAGTCTAGGCTCTGCATGGTGTTGCTTTGACCCTTCCCTTTGGGAGTAGGGCACACACTAACACTTAATCCACTGTGTGGGCATGTGTCCACAGTATGGTGACTAAACTTGAACCTATCCTCTGCAACTAGGACACTGAGCATGTCCATCTGTCAGTCACTTCATGCCACTTCACATGTCTGTGCTCCCACGTGAGGAGGAAGAGTGTTTGTATCAGATGTTACTGGACAGCTCATCTCAGCAGGGGAAGAGGAAAGCAGGGGATGTTGATTTGGGGTTTTAATTCCATTATCATGCCAGCCAACATTTTGACTAAATAATGTAGTTCAAGAGGATTTTTATCTTGCATATAGTAAAGGTTAGGTCTGCTACCTGTAAATCATCCTAATTTGGTAGGTTTGTTTCTAACTTCGAAAAGGGCAGAAAACAGTTTTCCTCAATAGTGTAATAGGAACCAGAGCCCCGATGCTGAAATCCAAAAGCTATAAAAAGGAGTTCAGTGGAGGGGAGCTTGAGGATCTCCATTATTTTGAGTTTCTGTTTTCAGAATCACCAAAAACTACATGTCATTTTACATGTGAAAACAGCCTGTGTTTCACAAAGTATGGCAGGCCTCCCTCCAAGAAGCTCTTCTGCTTTTCAGGAAGTGAGGATGCTGGGAGTCCTTGCAGGTACTCACTTTAGCTCTGTAGAACCTAGTGGTGCTGAAGCTGATTTTCAGAGTTAAATGCAGACTGTATGCTGTTTGCTTATTGACACTGCCTATCGTCACTGTTAAATTAATGAGTCTATAAAGTTTTTCTCCAGAGGCCACAGGGCAGTAGGTGACTTCACTGAAATTGCAAGATAAATTGCACTCTTTGCTGTGTGTGCCCTCCTCATACAGTGTGCGGCTTTGTCTCACTTAACGTGAGTTTGTGTCTGAGCACACCCAACTTGGAAACTGCTTTCCAAGGAAGCAGAATTTTACCAGCCACAAGCCAGCCAAAAGACTGGCTCAGCCGAAGTCCGTATGTGCTCTGATCAGCTAGGTGAAAATATCACAACATAATGGATTTAGGTCACTACTGTGTTTTATCCACCTGAGTCTTTGACCAGCAACTGGTGCATAATTATTACAGCAAAAGCAAGAAATGAACCTGTAGCAATTATGTAAATGAATGTGTTGGCCTCTTAACACCTGTTACTAGTGGACTTCCTGTGAGGAGGTTAGTTTTGTTTTAATGAAATGCTTTTTTTTTTTTTTCTTTTCTATCTGAATTCTCCTTATGTCATCCTCCCAAGTGTGCTTACAATATTGTTTAATTTAAATGGTATTTTTCCTTGTCTGTGAGAGGTAATCTGGTGGGGTGGGATGGGTGGTTTTTGGTTTTGTGTTGTTTCTTCTTTATTTAGGGCATCTGTAGGCCTCGAAGGACCTTACCTTTAGGTCATATTCCTCAGAAAGTCTTCAATCCTCTTTTGTTTTTGTTTTGTTTTTCCTTAAAGAATATTTTTAAAGCTTAAATTTGTATATTAATTTAGGACTTTTATTTAGAAGTATAGGCTGCCATTGGTGGCAGCATTATATTCTGAAATGTCTCATAGATATATATTTTTGAATAAAGATGGTGTTGTTGAACAACAGTGCGTGATGTTTCTTTTCCCTCCTCTGATCTGGTAAATGCAGTGGTTTTTGGTTTGCTGTGGGTGATTAGTAATCACAGTGGATAATGTGTTGCCTTGCACGGAATCTTGGCCCTTGGAGCCCATAAATATCAGCACTTACATAGTATTTTCTAGTTCTTTTCACGGTCTTAATTAGCTGTAATTAGCCAGTCTACACAGTGCTTAGGGGAGGGGCAGACTTCGTTTCAACCTCATTGTGCAGAAGTGGAGGCTAGCTGCTTGATGCTAAGTGACTCTGCCCTAGTACCATTCACATGAAAACTCAGAAGTTCTTTGATTTCAGCACTTTTGTTAACACCATTAGGCCTCCTGAAAACTGTTTGATTTTGGCAGTTCAGTAAAAACTGTTGTGAACAGTAAGAAGGAGAAAAATGCAAGAAAATTGCAAGTCCAGGTGCTATGTCTTTAAAAATATATTTTCATTGGTTTCCTTTCTCTTTTTCCCTTTGACATTCATTGAAAATGTATTGACTGGGTATTATTGGCTAAAACTCTCAAAATAATAGAAAAATGATTTGAAGTTGGTCCTTTTGAAGCAGTTGATAGGTGTGGGTGAGGGTGGCATATCCAGATGTGGGGTTCCCTGTTTATCTCATGATGCAGAGAGCTTCAGCCTCTCAAGACCAACTGCAACTAAATCCAAAGTCCAATGTTGGGAAGCTGAAACTGCATCCCTACTTGCTGTCTTAAGATAAAGGTAGAGTGTAATCTATGACTCTCAGGAGACAAGATCTTCTGTGTCCCAAGTTTCACAGCCTAGTTAATTTCTTCACTCCTATCTATAAATAGTAAAACCATAATTCCTCTGGTTTAATTAGCACTTCAGGCCAGAATGGCTCTGATGTCTCAACTGAAGATGGAGCTACCCAAAAGTTCATGAATCTGTCAGAACGCTTAACTATTGTGATTGGAGTCGTTAACTCTCGGTGTGACCTTTCTGGGCGAGGTACTTCCCTCTCTGGGCCTCAATTTTCTTATCTCTGAAGTGCATGTTGTATTAAGTTATTTCCAGACTCTCAGTCAGCCCCCACAGTTTAGCATTGTTGTATTGCATACGAAGTTCTTGAGAACTCTGGATGGCATGTCCTGGAATGCCAATAAGTGTTTCTTAGACAAATGAACAGGGTCCTCATTCTGCTGTCCACGGTTTTATGACTCTAGACAGTGCCATGATCAGGAAGGTGGGGTGAGCACAGAGGCTCACTGAGTGTAGGCAACCTGCATTTAGTTTATTTGGGATCTTTAAGAAAAGGGCATTTTCTAGTCTGATTTTGCTCTCTTCTTTTCGTCTAGAATAATTCATCTAGCTAAGCTCATTAGTCACCACCTCCTCTGTGGGGTTTTCCATTTAAAAATCATTCTTCCACTCTGAGGCACAGATTCAATTAAGAATCCATTATTCTCCTGCACAGTAGGTTGGGATTCATACAGCTTCATGTAGTGTTGAAAGCCTAATTTGTTCAATTTTTTAGACTGAAATAGTTATTTTGCATTAAAAATTCATTCCTACCACTGATTTGATAAATATTTAAATTAGCAGTATGAATCAATTTATCTAACAGTTTTTACATATAAGAGGCAGCTGCAGCAAGTATGATCTTTCATGTGATGACCTTGGGCAGGTCACACTATCATTTGGGCTCTCAGCTGCCATTCTTAAAGGAAATAAGGGCTGACTAACTCTGAAGTCCTTTCAAAGTCTGTAGTTCTTTGCCTGGGCTACCAGAATATTCCTTCCTATGGAGAACCTTACTAGTAAATTCAGCACCTGTGTAATGTCCTCCATAGATTTTTAAATGCCAGTTATCTGTGTGAATTCTTAGTTATGAAATAGGTAAGGCAGTTACAAACATACCTACTAGTAACCATAAGTGAGATGTTTGTGAAAAGAGCCTAGTGCGTGTCTGGGACAAATTAAGGACTCAGTGGTGGCAGTTATTGCGTTAAATAATGAGTACAGGATTTGCATATAGGATGGGGTTAAAATCCACGTGTTGGAAGGCAATGATAGGCAGTGTTTACAATAGAGATGGCCAAACCTGGACCTCTAGTCCCTTCACCCATGAATGAGGAATTAAGAGTCAAAGGAAGAGGATTTGGTGGTGAGAATTCCTTTGACAAGAGCCACGGGTGTGTTTGGAATCTCCTAATGGAAAGTGAAGGGTGCCACCAGCCCCTTCCCTCAAGGCTATGGAATAGGGCCTCTGTGAACTAGAATGGACCACCCTTTGGGTGGTGACCCAGTGGACTAGATGGACCTGGGCCAGGAAAGACCTAAAGGATGAGGGGAGGTGACTTTCTATGTGCTGAGCTGAAGGAGTGAAGGAGAGGGGGCTGAGCTGGGTGCAGCCAGCACACCTAGGGCCTACCAGAGCTGAGGGGGTTTGTGAGCACCAGCCTGTATCTTGTCTGCTCTCAACCTGGTCAAGAGGACAGGGTCCCTTCAAGAGGGCGAACATCAGTCTCAAAGTGCTGAGGGAGGAGCATGAGCAAAAAGCCAAAGGGAGGGCATCCTCCCATGCTCAGACCCAGTGATGGGGTGAGGATGAGATGGGAGGAAGAGCGGGATAAACTATGCCAAGGAGGGTCCTGGGAACCCACTGATAGGAAGGTATTTAACCTTGGCCACGCCAGGGTCCTGTCACCACAACCCGTCAGATGAGGACTGCCTCTTGCCTTCTTTCTCTCACTCTTACCACTTGGTCACTGGAAGGGTCAGAACCCTTACACAAGGGAGGCCCCCGTGCAGGCCTCCCACCTGCAGCAGGCCCCAAGCAACCTCAGCCTCATGGGATCAGACATTTTTATTTCAGTATGGCGCTGCACTTTAAACTCCTGAACTGACACTGCTTTGCATCTTATGTGTAACTATGATTTTGGGGGGGTTGTTTTTTTTTTTCTTCTAGATGTTTCTTCCTAATGAACTGGCCATTACATTTACAAAGTTCTGAAATGGTCAATAGACTACAGATGGACATTTCTTTAGACTCCTTGAAACCAACTGCTTCAGCCAACTGCTGGCCTTGATTCAGGGCCTCTTTTTTTTTTAAATAAAGATTCCCTAGCAAAGTTGTGGAGGCCTGAGTTTTCCTCTGGAGTTGGGGTACCCTAGCCCCATAAATTGAACACCAGGAAACAAAGTTTCTCTGTGATTGGAGTCCCACCAGCCTTCTTGTTTATTATAATCATCGCACACATGATTTATTTCAGGCCCTTTAATTCTTGGTTCACCGTTCTGTTTTTATTACTTAAGTTCATTCCACAGCATTAAGTTGTTAGTGACTTCATAAATGACCCTTCTGCATATATGTGAATATATTTTAAATTGTGGTAGCATACACGTAACATAAATTTATCACTTTAACCATTCTCAAGTATACATTTGTGATGTTGTGCAGCCATGACCACTCTCTGGTTCTAGAACATTCTCATCCCCCCCGAAGGAAACCACAAACCCATTAAGTAGTAACTCCCATTATCCTTTACTCCTAGGCCCTGAAAAAACACTAGTTTGCTTCCTGTCTCCATGAAATGCCCTAATCTGAATATTTAATTCAAATAGAATGATACAATATTTGACCTTTTGTGTCTGAGTTCTTTCTCTTATCATGATGTTTTCAAGATTAGTTTCAGTGTTGTAGCATGTATCAGATGTCATTCCTTGTGTGGTTGAAGGATTATTCTGTTGCATGGGTATGTCACATTTTGTTTATCCGTCAGTTGCACATTTGGGTTTTTGTTTGAACAGCTGTTTGCATTTCTTTGGAGTATACGCCTAAGAGTAGAATTGCTGTGTCACGTGGTATTTCTGTGTTTGCCTTGCTGAGGAGCGCTAGTGTTCTCTAGAGGAACAGAACCACTCATTTACTTAGTTGTTGAATTGGCTTGCATAGTTGGAGGTTGGTTAGTACCTCAGTGACCACCTGCAGGCTGAAGAGCCAGAGCACAGGTAGTTGCTGCTCAGTCTGAGAGGCGGAAGCCTCAGAACAAGGAAGACCAATAACGCAGCCCCAGCACAAGCTCCCTGGAGTCATTGGTATGAGTCCGCACTAAAAGACGGAAGAAACTGGAGTCTCATGTCCTTGGTGATGTAGCAGCAATAAATGTACTCGATTAGGAAGTATGGAGCTTGAATGCAGTGGCTGGCTTCCTCCTTCAGCTTCTGTCCCATTGGCAGCCTGTTGGATGATGCCTCTCACACTCAGGTGAGCCCTTCTCCTCAGTTGCTCTCCCACATGCCAGTCATCTCTGGAAACACCTTCCTCACTCACCCAGAAGTTGCTTTAGTAATTTAGGCATCTCTCAATCCAATTGACAGTGAAGATGAACCATCGAAAGTAGCTGGCAACAAGTGGCTTTCTTTTTTTTTTTAATGTTGAAAATTATTTTTTTTTAATTTTACATAAAAATTCAAAAAGTATATTCATTAGGAATCTGTATGTGAACCCTTCTCCAATCTTTTTTTTTTCATGAATTTATTCACATGTGCATACATTGTTTAGGTCATTTCTCTCCCCTGCTCCTCTCCCCCAAACAAGTGGCTTTCCATAATAGCTACACCATCTTATATTTCTGACACAATATATGAGGGTTCCAGCTTCTCCACATTCTTGTAGTATATATAATTGCCAAATCCAAGGTCGTGAAGATTTTCTTCTAAGATTTTATACTTTTAGTTTGTATAGGGGTAGCCTGCTTTACTCAGTGTCCACGATTTCAATCTTAATTTTATCCAAAAAATATCCTTACAGAACTACTCAGAATAGTGTTTGATCAGAGAACTGGGTACTGTGGCCTACCCAAGTTGCCATATAAAAGTAACCATCACACCTGCCAACACTTGGTATTTTCCACTATAGCTATGTTAGTATCCTTGTGCTCCGTAAGAAAGTACCACATACCAGGGACTTAAAACAACAGATACCTATTGTCAGAGTTCAGGAGGCCAGAAATGAGAAGTCAAGGTGTTTGCAGGCTCTTTGGGAGGGTCCTTCCTTGCCTCTTCCAGCTTCTGAAAGCCCAGGCCTTCCTTCATTTGTGGGAGCATCACTATAAACGCCACCTCCATCTTCACACATAGCCATCTTCCCTTGTGTCTGTGTCCAGATTTCCTTCTCCTTATAGGGGGACCAATCATACTGGATTAAGGCTCACCTTAATGACATCTTAACGTGACTAAATCTGCAGAGACCCTATTTTAAATAAGGTCACATTCACAGGTGCTGGAGGTTAGGACTTCGTATCTTT